TCTGGGGCAGCACCCAGCTGGGGACGGGTCCCCAGCGCTCCCCAGGGGCTCTACCTTTGATCTCCTTGGTGAAACGCACTCTCTGTGAGTCCGTCAGGGGCTTCGGCTGCTCGTCAATGTTCCGGATGTCCAGCACCTCGCACATGAACTCGATTACCGGCTGGGCTTTGTAGAAGGCGGTGGCTGACACTGTGGGACAGATACGACAATGCGTCTCGGCTTCCTCCCAGCAGACGGACCTGGCCCAAGAGCCGGCCAGATTCAGCCTCCCCACACAGACCCAGTCCCAACACTACAGTTCCCCTGCATGAAAAATATGTCACCATCAATGTTGAGCATCATCTTCCACATGGCAGGCCTGACCGACTGGTGGAAACCGAACCAGACCTCCCTGCCGCCTCCCAGGGGGTGGTAGTAGCCTTCAGGGGGGGAGAAGAAGGAGCGACCAACGGGCGTGTACCTGTGAACCAGGGCAAACTGTGTCAAACGGCACACGCCAACCCCACCGGCAGTGACCACAAAACACCCCCAGCCCCTCCGAGCTGCCGCTCGCCCCGCTGGCTGCATCATCCCATATATTTCTATTGCAGGATTATCCAGAGCGATAGCACTGAGCAATGCGACAGGCACGGCTGCCTCCTTCCAAAGACCATCAAGGCCAGTCCCTTCCACAACAGCCTGCAGCTGGTCCCCTCCCCAACACACCCGGTGCTTGCAGCACGGCCCCTTCCACCCCGGTGCCCACCCGCCGGGCCACCCTTGGCACACGTACCTCATAGAAGCCAGGTGCCTCATGGCAACATCCAGCGCCTGGACGGACTCCAGGGGGACAGGGATCTGCCCGCTGACCAGGGCCTCGTGCAGCATGCGCCAGCTCACGATGGCCATCCATTTGATGGAGACCTTAAATATCCTGTCCTTGCCTTCCCCTGGGATCGTCACCTCAAAGTCAACCTGAGTGCAGAAAGGAGGGAAGCGATCATGGCATCGCCACAGGCGCAAGGGGAGGAGGTTGTTTTTAGCTGGTCCTTTCCAGGCATAAAGCACGTCATGCTCGCCTGCACGGGGCTCACCACCCCCTCTTACCCGCTCGTTTCCAATAGGCAAGGCCGTGACAGTGTAGATGTTCTTCTTCCCATCGTAGACTGGCTTTCGGTCACCGAAGATCTGGGGTTTGAAGTGCTGTACCATGTACTCCACGACTTCCCTATGCAGGTGAGCAGGGTAAGAAAGAGGGGCAGGGGGAGAGAAGGGCAAGGTTCGTTTTGCCTGTTTCTTTACAGCCCAACAGCTTCTGCGACCTGCCTGGTCCCCAGCCTCCCTACCCAAGGCACTTCTGAGCCGCAGGGCAGCAGAGAGCAGAGCCAAGACCCCCACTGGCTGGAGGGCCCCTCGACAAACACCCACGTGCCTTGCTTCGGCAGAACGAGTTTACACGGTATGCAGGAACGCGCACCCGCCGGAGCTGGCTGCAAACCCACCACATGTGCCAGGAGGGCGAGAGGGAGCAACTCGC